AGACCTGAAGGGCAGGTAGGGGCCATAGTCTCAGTGGTTCCACCAGGCTCTATCAGACCAGCAAACCTGATTCCCACCTTTTTTTTTTTTTTTTTAAGAAACTATCGTAAGGTAATAGATATGTACAAAGAAATAGAATGTTGTTACACTACAGTGTGCCCTATAATATGGAAAAATGAACATAAATGAACTTTTCTGAGTAAGGGAAATTTAAATAAATTATGGTACATAAATATGATGGAATACCAAGCAGTCATTGCCAAATATCCTTGCTCTTGTGAATTAGAACACATATCCACAGAAGGTATTTGAAATTCACTAAGAAATGCTCATCCATGGAATCAGCCCATTCCCTTAATTTCATGGGCACCCTGTGTAGCACTAATTAATGTATACAGCATAATAATCAAGTGAAGTATTATATTGACACATTGGAAGGGATATATTAGTGTTTATTCTTATTATTACTTGTCATTGCTGTCATTACCATTTCAAGAGGTATGTAAAGTCATAAAATAAATACAGCACATTTCTTTGCTATATCAATCTTAACTATTTGAGGGAATTTCAATAATTCTTAAATGGAAATTAAATTGGAATCAAATGTAAACTTCATTGTAATACTGAAGTTAAAACACAAGATTTCAAAGAAATTTCAAGCTCATGGTGGTTGCTCCAGGCTGCACTGGGCCTACATGCCTGGGCTGCACGTTCCTCTCCTCTCCCCTTGGGACTTGTTTCGTGGCAAAGCAGGAGAAGCTCTGGGGTGTTACCTGTTCGGTCACCGCATGGGCTGCTTCGTTTGGGTCATGGCACTGATTGACAAAGTCACAAATCTCTTGACTATTCACCATGAAGTTAATGCCATCTGTAGTGAGGACCAGGAAGCTGTCATCAGCATGGTGAAGCTGCAATCAGAATCAAATGCATATGAATTATAAAGTAGACAGTGCCTTAGAATCATCTTTAGAATTCAAAGATTTTATCTGTTTTCCTGAATGGCTATCTACATAAAAGCTTGTATAAAAATCTAGCCAGCATGGCTACTCACTGAGAACAATTCATCTAACTCTGCTAGGCAAACGCAAGTGGAAAGGAAAGCCTGTATTTAGGGCAACAGTAGTAACATTTATAATTAGCCACTGAGGACAAACGCAGTTTTTCTCAGTAACACCACAACAGAAGAAGCCAGATGGCTGAGGCTGGGCGGAAGCTCAGTGCAGGAGCACTGTCTCTGGAGCCAGGAGTCCTGGGTTTGAAGCCTCAGCTGGAGAGCATTGGTGAGTTGACATCTCCAGGCCTTAGATTTGTTTTCTGTGTAAGATGGGGATAGAACTACCTCTTTTGAACTGAGCTTGGTACATTTAAAAAAAAAACAGTTGCTGTCAAGTTGATTTCAATGCAACGTGACCCCATGTGCTACGTAGAACTGCTCTGTAGAGTTGTTGTTGTTGTTGTTTTTTGGCTGAATTTCTACTATGGTGCTGCTGGGTGGGTTTGAACTGACAACCATTAGGTTAGCAGTCCAGTGCAAACCATTTGTGCTGCCCAGAGCTCTGGTGGCATAGTGCCTAAGGCATTTGACTGCTAACCAGAAGGCTGGAGGTTCAAACCCACTAGCCATCCCTGGAAGGAAGGTTGGGCAATCTACTTCCGTAGTGATGTTGTTGTTATGTGCCATCGAGTTGGACCCGACTCATAGCGACCCCTCCTTGAGTTTCTGAGGCAGTATGACTACGGAAGTAGATTGCTCCATCTTCCTTCCGTGGAGTGGCTGGTGGGTTTGAACCGCCAGCCTTCTGGTTAGCAGTCAAGTGCCTTAAGCACTAAGCTATACTGCCTCGGAATCCAAGGACAGGTCACTATGAATCAGACCCGACTCCACGGCAGTGAGTTTGTTTGTTTGTTTGAGGGTTAGAAACCTTATAGCAAGCCCTATATCATTATTTGTTAAAGAAAATAAATATAAGTGAGATACTATAAGACAATATTCCTTATTCAATTAACAAATGTTAATGGCATAAACACTTACCAAATTGAAAGCTTACACTATACTGTGCCCAAGACCATAGTAGTCCTGGGGATTTCAGTTAAGTGTCAGCTCATAACATTGGGTGGCAATGGGAGTCGTTTAAGGAAATAGGGCCACTCAGTAGTAGAATACAAAAGATGCAGCAGAAACGGGGGATATATTCAGCATCGTGGACAAGATACAAGTCAGGGGCAGTTTCTAAGAAGTAACACTGGATGAGGTGCAGGTAGAAAAAGGAAGTAGAGGTGTTTTATCAAGATAATTCTATAGCAGGGGTGAAACAAAAACCAAAGAGTACATCACACATTTGCTGTTATTGTTAGTTGCCATCTAACCCACTGCTATTGAGTCTATTCTGTGGTGGCCTTATGTATAACAGAACAAAACGTTGCCCAAGCCTGTGCTAGCTTCATGAATACTGGTGTGTTTGAGTCCATTGTTGCTGCTATCATGTCCATCATCATACATTAGGCCAGGAAAATAGTATCTTATTTTAACTATCCTTCCACAAATTATTCCCTCTTAAAAATCATTTTCATGTCAAGTGCTTCCAAGAAGGCCTCTAGATAGAGACAATCCTGCATTCATTTTTTGGATCAAGTGTATGCAGGTCCTTTCTTACCATAATCCTCTTTGTTTCAGGTTCTGCTATCACACCATTGGTTTTAAGATCCAAATCTCCAATACTCCTTGTCATTGCAAGTCTGCCATTCACATGAGGCTGTCCCAAACTATTCCAGGCTACAAAGCCACCACATTTCTTGATCCTGGTCCAGAAAAAGTTTAAAAAGTACGATGTGATATGTATAAAACATGCTACTGTTAAGCACTGGACTACTTTAAAAATGCAAAATTCCATTTCTATCTTGAAATGTATACCATCCCCATAAAATTGATCAGTAGAAATAGTACCTTTCTTTTTCATCTTTCCTTTCTGGAGTATGGTCAATGGTCAGCTTCATGGGTTTTCCTTTCCTACACAAAATAGCCCGGCTGTCCCCAGCACTGGCTACAACCAGTTCAATACCATCTCGTAATAAGGCTACTGTCGCAGTAGTCCCAGAGGTCAAAAGGGTTGCTACAAATATTATGAAAAAAAGTACATGTCAGTGACAGTCAAAATTTTAATTACAAATACATAATTTTAATTACAAAATAAAACACAGGCTTGATAAACTAATGCTGAAATCCATCATTCTAATTTAACTAAAATGCAAATAACTATGGAAGGAAGAGCATGCAGAGACAGAAACATTTAATTCAGTAACAAGGCTCCATGCAAACAGAAAAAATTGCTAACCTACTTTGGTAAACAATGCATCACTGTTTCCAAGTGGCATCTATTTATACAAAGTGGAGCTGACTTGAATTTATAATTACAGTGACAGCTTTGAATGCCCATAGGGTGTCAGGGCTAAAAGTATTAAAACTTAATTATATTGACTAACATGGCAGGATGATTTAGCTCTACTGAGCTCATTCAGCCAAGCAAACTTTTCTTTAACCTATGGACGTAGGAAACTTTCCATTTCTCACTCTCATTCTGTTAAAGTATTACGAGTTAGAAGGCTAACTTAGGTATGTCAAGGCCATCTCATTTGCACTTCAAATGCTATATATTCAAATTTTTCCCTTACAACAGCTGTTTTAATTTTACAAATGCTCACAAAATAAGAAAGAAAAAAAATGGTCAGATTCTTTTCTGTTTATCTTTGTTCTCCCTAAACATGAAACAAAGTTACAGCCATCATTTTGTTAGGAGAAAATGTTGAGGGTCATGAATGAGTTATTCTAGTTTCCCATAAACGTGGTGTAGTTTAGTTAAAGGTCCAGAAGAATCTGATATAGTCTGTATCAAAATGCAGTACAGTGCTGCTGAGTTCTACTGCTGTGGTCCTGCATGGACCAGAGCATTCCAAGAATATCAATGTTCTCTACTAACAAAATTAAATATCACTGGGCTTGAGGTTGCCAGTACTTCACCTACGAAAGTCAAATTGTATTTTGCATTTTCCTTTGATTTATTCTGAGTGTCTGTCCTAAATTCTTTGCCACTGCTTAAAAATTGTGAAGTGCATTGAGCCTTGCCAAAAGTGAGCAAACTGTGAAAATATGGGCTATAAGTAAATTAGAAAACTTGAAAAGAGAATTTATTTAAAGCAGGTATTGTCTCTAGCAACATGGTTAAGTTTTTAAAGCATCTAAATAAAATATTCAGGTGGTCATCTGAAGGACTTCAAAATATTTTTAGGAATAACAAAATGCTACCATTTGATTGAGGCTCAATCTTTCCAATTTTTTTTTCAAAAGATAATTTTTAGAACTTCATCAAACCAAACCAAAAAACATCAGTAATTTTAGAGAGAATATATAGATATGTAAAACTTTTTTTTTCTAATCAATATATTAAAATACCTGCTTTAATCAAAAAAGTAAAATGGAAAAACATGAGTAAACCCTACTTAATCTTTTATATTCCTGCCAAATTTACTTCAGTGAGGAAAAATATTTACAGTTGTACTATCTTCCCAGTTATCTCTTGATTTTGGAACTGTTGTGCCAAAGTAATGATATCTTTGCAATGCTAAAATATCTTATATATTTGTCATAAATGTTTTAATGTAAGTATCAGTGATATTTATATTACAACAGTTTATTTTTATATAACTTAAATTATCAATTAAAAGAGTTAACTTGAATTTTCCAAAACAACTATACAACAGAACTCCTACAGCTATCACAACTGTGATATTTTCAGGTGACTTAAAAGGCCAGGCAAGAGAATGGAGGCATTTATGCAGATGATATCTGTCCAGGGAGTTTCAGTATTCTTGCCCTTGGTGTTAGCAACAGCTTTAAAAAAAATAAAGCTACACCAAGAGTTAAAATTTCATAAATGAAATTTCAAGTTTAGCTGTTTAAGGCTTATAATTCATGGCCTGCCACCTAGAAAGTTAAAAGAGCTTGAGTTTTTACTAACTCAACTTCACAGTTCCAAAATCCCAGGATTTATGGGTAAGTTTTCAAAACTAACTATTGATTCTAGCTTGCTAAGCATCTAAGAACATAAATATTGAATCAGTATTTATTTCCATTTAACATTTAACATGGAAGTAAAAATTCTCTTTTTTTCCTAACAACAAAACTATAAAACTAAAACATCTTTCAATAAGTTCTTAACACTCACTGGACAATTTCTACTGCAAGTCATCTCAACTAATGGGGCAAAGTGGATGTGGGGACCTTCCAGTAGTCCAGGCTAGGAACCGCTGGACTCCTTCACCTGGGACAAAATTAAGCAGATCTCTCTTTCCACTGAAGCCCAGCATATAGTGTCCACGGGCTCCATATCTAGAGCTGCTGACCAGGCACAGTTCTCTGCCACAAATAACACGCACAGAGGCAAATAGGAAATTCACCCAGGAATTGTGCTCAAACATTACAAACCTGCAACACAGAGGAGGACAGAGAAAGAGCTGCAAAGTCAGGGGAACAGTTTTTATTCTTGTGGAAATTTCACTATCAAATTACATCATATTGCTGGAGATGCCAAATCAATGATTCCAAACTGAATTTGTTCAGTTGATGGTATTTTGTAGTTGATCCTTTTTTTTCCCTTTCTTTCATCACAAAGTAACAATTATTTCTTAGTTTTATAGCTTAAGAAAAAAACATATTCACATGCATCCACTCAAAAACACATATGTGAGGACATTGACACATCTGTACACATGTATACTCACACCCACATAAGCACACACACATTCACTTAACGTGAACTTTATTGAGTTGCAAAAAAAGTACTGTGAATTTGTTTGGTAGCAATTTCAGAATTGTCCCAGTAACAAGAAAGACAATTCACTGAATAATTAATATCTGACAAACAGTATATATTTATAGAGGATATGAACGACAGTATACCACCAAATTACTGGAATTTATTTATACATCAAAAGGAATCAAAGCATCTCTTATACCAGATACAAGGAGGAACACATTTATTAATGGTGCTTAGAGCAGGAATTTTGTATCTAGAGGCATTTTTCAAATAAAACGATTTATTTAGATTGTTTAAATAAAAGCTAGTAAGGCTCTTGAGCATTAAAGTTATGTTTATCATTTTATATAATTAATCAAATGGGTTATTTCTGCAGCTTTCTCTTTCCTCAGTGTTGCAGGTAAACATATCAAAAGAAAAATTAACAAGATTTTGAATGGTAACATAGAGTAAATGCTGTACTTTTCAAAGTATAACCCCCCCGGAAATATTCCACTTTAAATAAGAATATGGAAAAGCCAATATAGTTTCAGTATTTGTTAAAAATAGGTATTCTAGACATTGATGGCTTATGAACACCAAAATCAAGGTAAGGAGCTGAAGCAGTAACAGCACACTAAGATTATCTCTTCAAATGTAGTCCCTATTTTTTTTCTTCTTTTTGGCTGCCCTCAGCCTAAAAAGGTATTCAAAAATGTTGCATGTATAACACTGGTTATTTTGTAGTTTAATTCTCCCATAAAGAAATCACACATTATGAAGATGAAGATTATGGAAGGTTTCCAATGAGATTCACAACACTGCCATCCACGTTTCCCACTCTGAGGGTCAGAGCAAGTCCTTTCTTTCAGGTCATTTTGCCTCTGGTTACTTTCAAAGCTTAAGTAATCTAGGAACACTTTGAAGAGTGTATAGGATATATAGGAGCTCTGGTAGCATAGTGGCTAAGACACTTGCCTGCTAACCAGACGGCTGGCAGTTCAAACCCACCAGCCACTCCTCGGAAGGAAGGTTGGGCAATCCTACTTCCGTAGTGATACTGCCTCGGAAACCCAAGGAGGGGTCACTATGAGTCGGGGCCGACTCGACGGCACATAACAACAACAACAACATAGGATATATAGGATTATGATCTAAACTTTCTACCACCTGGTTTAATTTAAATGATTTTCTTCATTCTTAGGTAAACAATGGACTAATTAACGGGCTATCATTTCAATTTATTAGCTAGCTTTCTTAATTGTAAAAATACATATTATGACTATAAATCAAAAGCAAAAATATTCAAAGATGGTAATGACATTAACTATCTGTAAATAAAGACAAATTCAAAATGCATTAACAACTACAAAAATAAAAATAGCTGGCAATTTCTCAAGGGCAAGAAGGTGGCCTTATTCTTGCTGTTTGTTGTTACTAAGTGGCATTCTGATAGTGTTTAAATTATCCCCAGGTTAAATGTTGCTAGCTGCCCTCCAGTCCTTTCTGACTCGGGTGACCCATGTGTGCAAAATAGAACTGTTTCATAGTTTTCAACCTTTGGAAGCCGATCAGCAAGCCTGTCTTCTGAGGCACCTTTGAGTGGGTTTGAAATGCCAACCTTTTGGCTAGTAGTTAGAGCACTTAACCATTTGCACTACCAAGGTACCTAAATTGAAATAGTGAGTATGTTAAGTGCTAATGAGATCATTTGAAATGCTTTAAGCAGATGTGAGGGCTGGAACTGAAGTCTTGAATAAAAATTTCTTATTTTCACTTTCTTATTTCTCTTACAAGAACTAATATGGTATGACTGAGGAACACTCCTCCCATTTATACCTGAAATTTCACCATTTAGTGATTAATTAATATGGTTTAGCCAATCTCTTTTCATGGTTGTGCTACTTAAGTTCAAATCCATCCAGAAGTGCTAACTCATTAAAACTCATCTGTTATATATAAACAATTGTGTTAAATCAGCTATGAGATTAATAAAGGAATAAATTACAAGAACTGTAGTGAGAAGAGTAGACAGTGCAGATCAGTTCAGTCCAAACAATTATTGATTATTGAGTATCTTTCTGATTCCATGCAGCATACTGAACACTGGAGATTCAAAAATAAGTAACGCATAGTGGTTCCTAGCCTCAAATTGCTTACAGGATGGGTTCAATAGGAGGGAAAATGGGGCAAATACTAGAACAGAAAATGTGGAAGATGGTGGGAAACGGCAAACCGCACTTACTTTACAATTTTGTTTACCTAGTTATATGACCGGAGCTCTGGTGGCATAGTGCCTAAGGCATGTGACTACTAACCAGAAGGCTGGAGGTTCAAATCCACTACCACTCCTTGGAAGGAAGGTTCAGCAATCTACTTCCATAGAGATACTGCCTCAGAAACCCAAAGACTTGATGGCAGTGAGTTTTTTTTTTTTTGCTTAGTTATAAAGATACTGAAAAGAATATTATCCATATTTATAATACTGATACTGCTTCAGTTCTTACTAAAAATTAGGGGGGGAAGAGACCATTTATAATTTGGATAATAACATGAAAAATGAAATGGCATACATTTTTATTTTATTCACAAATTGAAAGTTAAATGATATACAGAACTTGATCTTTAGTGGCTTTAATATATTTGATAAAACAGGCCCTTAATATCCAAAGGCAATTTTTGCCATCTTTGCAAGTTTCAGCCAGTTAGTAAGAATCCAGTTTAAAATTTTTCTCAAAACAATAACTAAAAAACCCCCAAAAACAGAATAATTAACCTATAAGATTATTTACACAAAAAGATTTAACAATAACAATGTCATACTAGACCTTTTGACTTTTAGGAGCACACTAAGCATCATCCTGTCTTGCTTCATCATGCTCGTGAACTATGGCCATTAAGTGAAAAATATTTTAAAATATCTTATGAAAGTTCTAGGATTACTGCTTCAAAACATATGACAGAGAAATTAAATAAATAAAATTTAGTTCCATTATTAGAAATGAATTAAAATTCTATGATTAATTTCTTTGCACAATTGTCTGACTGTTTATGTGAGAAAGGCATCTTTAGAAAGTTTCCTTTAACGTAGGAAAGTTAAATAAACTTTCTCCCTAAGCTCCAAATTATCTTTAATGGTAATTTATTATTTAATAAATGAAGTTCATCCTCTCATATTTTACACTGATCCCGCCACTGGTTGTTTTAATTAAGCATCTGGGTCAATTAAGTCCTTTCAAAAAGGCTAACTGCACCCATGAAGGGTTAATGTTCTTGGTTTTGGGCCACATGCTCTTAATAAATTTGAATATTATTTTCTGAAAATGGGAGCCTTATTGGCGTAGTGCCTAAGGCATTTGACTACTAACCAGAAGGCTGGCGGTTCAAACCCACCAACCACTAATTAGAAGGAAGGTTGGACAATCTGTCGCTATGGGTTGGAACCGACTTGACAGCAATGAGTTTGGTTTTTTTTGTTTGTTTGTTTTTGAAAACCTCACTGAATAAACTGTAAATGGAAGTGAGTTTGGTTTGGGTTTTGTTTACACACACACACACACACACACACAAACTTCACTGCCGTCAAGTTCATTCTGACTCATAGCGACCCCTCAATCGGTATCTCTACTGAAGTAGATTGTCCAGTCTTCCTTCCCTGGAGTGGCTGGTGGGTTTGAACCGCCAGCCTTCTGGTTAGCAGTCAAATGCCTTAGGCACTACATCACCAGAGCTCCTTAGCTGTTTTACAAAGCAGCTGTATACACACCACCGGTACTATGACCCATTACATGGTGTAAGATAAGCTGAATTCACAGCAACCTGGTTATGAATTAAACAAAGAGCATACCAAAATTTGGAGAGTTATAAAAATAAAACTATAAAGATATGTTTTAATTTCCTCTTCTCCTTTATGTGTTTTGCCCATTAGGAACAAGAGCTAAATCTTATGCATAAAATTGACCTTCTCTCAACCATTACCTTTTTTAAGGCAAGGGGCCAGTTGAGAGGGAAAAAAAATCCAAAGTAATGAGGAAGAAATAATGGGCCTGAATAATCTATTAACTAGAAAGTAAATCTCTAAACAAAGGGGCGTTAGCTGTAATGCTATTCTGAGAAGTGAAGAACAGGAAAAACCAAGATGGCAAATCCCGCCATCCCACAGTCGACTTCTCCGACTTCTCTGGTCTGCTTAATTAAATACGCCAGTAGGAGAGGCTACATAAGGTACAATGAATCCAGCTCTAACTGCCACTGAGCTTCAGTTCCTTATCTGGGAAAGGGGAGAGTTTCCATCCCTACCTACTCCAACAGGAAATTGTGAAAATCACATTTTTTGTGGTGGCCTTTGACCTCCTTTAAAGAAACTGAGGACCCAAACACAGATTAATATTTCTGCATAATTCCTTTTCAAATCAGTTACAAGGTCTACATGCATACACTCACTGCAGAAATTTTCAAAATTAACTTTAGAAGCAAAAGATTTGGGGACCAGCTAACCAGAAAACATTAGCCATATTTTCCTGAAATGGTTTTGATAAATTTAGTAAAAGCCAGAAATATTTTACTTTTAAAATTTAAGGGCATATGGTACACTGATTATAAAATTCAGCTGGCATGCCCTTGTGTCTAATTAAAAAAACAAAAGCACACTAATTAAAAGAAATCTGTAAGATCAAGTTGTTTTTAAGGAGGCAAATTATCTGTCTGATTGCAAATCAGTGCTAATAGCCATTGTCCTTTTCTATTTAGGATGTATTAGCATTTTTCTTCTTCTCTGTGCAATTCCTGACCTAGCTAGAGTAACAAGCCTATAGCTTATTTCAGGAATTTCTCATCAGGTTTATTTTCTAGTAAAAATAAACCCTCTTACAGTATGGCCATCTTGTCCGCTAAAAGGAGCAATCACGCAGATTAAAATTTTCTTTAAATCCTTTTAAGGTTAAAATCCACTATCAAAGTAAATTATTTTAATGAAAAACAGTTTTAGAGCTTATCTTTTAGAAAAATCCTCTATTTGATTTAAATGTGAGGTTCAGACATTAAATTCCAAAAAGCATTTAAAATGATTCTTTACATGAAATAATTGGCTACAGAAATTCCTTTACAATTAACCACATACTATAATTCCCACCCTCAAAGCATTTAAGTTGTTTCCTCTTTACCCGGCCACTCCCAAGGACCTTAAGAAATGTGATTGTTTTACATACCATCAGCAGACAGGTGGGCGTGCTTTGAAAAAGCTTTATCTATTTCTAGAAAAGCCATAGTCAACACAGTTTCCAAGTTCTTCTCTTTAGGAAGCAAATCCCTTTGTGGGGAGAGAAAAAGAGCCCCGATCATTTTATAAAGGGTTTTTCAGTCTTCTCATAGTCACTGTTACCTAGAGAACGCAGTCTATCCAAACAATCCACAACCTTGGCTTTCCTTTAGCATGCTTAAGATTCACTGATTAAAGACTTTATTGAGCACCTACTGGAGTCTGTGATAAGCCTTTTGTTGTTGTTAGCATCTTTAGTCAAATCATGATGACCCCTGCACAATAGAACTACATGCTGCCTGGTCCTGCACCATTCCCCCAGTCAGGTGCGGACAGGATTATGATCCACAGGGTTTCCATTGGCTGATTTCTGGAAGTAGATCTCTATGCCCTTCTTCCTCTTAGTTCAGCAGCTCTGCTGAAGCCCATTCTGCACCATAGCAATGTGCAAGCCTCCACTGACAGACAAGCAGTGGCTTCAAATGAGATACGTTTATTGAGAATCAAGTAAGTATCTCTGACATAGAAGGAGAGAATTTTACCACTAAGCCACCAATACCCTAGTAATAAGCCTTTCCCCTTGCCATCATGTTGAATTCTGACTCACAGCTACCCTATAGGACAGAGTAGAATCGGCCCATAGATTTTCCTAGGCTGTAATCTTTACCACCTTTGAATTGTGGTGTTGGCGAAGATTCCTGGAAATACCATGGACTTCCAGAAGAATGAACAAATATGTCCTGGAAGAAGTACAGCCGGAATGCTCCTTAGAATCAAGAATGGCCAGACTTCATCTCACCTACTTTGGTCATGTTGTCAGAAGGGACAAGTCCTGGAGAAGGATGTCATGCTTGGTTAAGCAGAGGGTCAGCAAAAAAAGGGAAGACCCTGAACAAGGTGGATTGACACAGTGGCTGCAATGATGGGCTCAAGCACAGCAAGGACTCTGAGGATGGCGTAGGACTGGGCAGTGTTTCATTCCGTTGTACACAGGGTCGCTATGAGTCAAAGCTGACTAGACAACACCTAACAACAACAATCTTTATGGAAGCAGCCTGCCACATCTTTCTCCTGTGGAGTGACTGGTGGGTTTGAACCCCTGGTCTTTAAGTTAACAAGAAAGTGCTTGACCTTTGTGCCACCAGAGCAACTGCGATAAGCTGTTAAGGGCACAAAAAATAAAGTTCAAATCACTGTTCTTAAATAATTAATACTCAGCAGGATATCCCTGGGAGGTCAAGAGTTTCTTAATATTAAATTAAACCATTGAGTTCTTATGTGGAATGAGGCAGCAAGACATAAATCAACTGACCAAAAATATAAAGTAACCCTAGGGGTGCAAAGGTTAAATGCTATGCTGCTAACCAAAAGGTCAGTGGTTGGAACATACCAGCTGCTCAACAGGGGAAGAGACCTGTTGATCTGCTCTCATGAAGATTTCAACCTAGGAAATCCTGCGGGGCAATTGAACTCTGTCCTACAGGGTCGCTATAAATTGGAATTAACTTGACAGCACACAACAACATAAGTAACTACACACAGGAAGACAAGAAATGGTCACCTGGTCTAACTCTATCACATGTTTTTTCTTGAATTCTAGCAGTAGTGTGATGTTTAAAAAAAAAAAAAAAAAAAATCCACTGCTATCAAATCACTTCCAACTCATAGTGACCCTATGGGACAGAATTCAATTGCTACATACGGTTTCCAAGGCTGTACATCTTTATGGAAGTAGACTGCCTCATCTATCCCCTGTGGAGCGGCTGGTGGGTTTGAGTTGCCGCCCTTTTGGTCAGCAGCCCAATGCTTTAACCACTGTGCTACCAGAGCTCCTTGTCTCAGAAAATGTCTCCATAATAATTGGAGTACATAAATTATTTAAAGTACTCCAAAATACCTGCATTGAATGTGTTTCTCCCACACTAGGGCAAGTCTTCAATAAGTCAATTATTCAAAGCTATTAATACCACTGAAAGAATAATTACCACTTAGCGAAACACTGTGTGTCATGCACTGGTAAGAATAAATGCTTCTCATACATTATCTCACGTACTTTATGTTAATTTGCATTAAAATAATCACAAATCAAGTACTGTAAATTCTGGCTCATACTTTCATCAGTAGAGTTGTTAAAAGGCACATTTCTGAAATGGTCCTCGGAAGTTAAAGCAACTTCTCTTTTACCATTAATAATAAACTGGAAAATGGCATCCTTGTCTATGAGTAGCAGCAGGAAACCACTCAACTACGTTTGGAAGTCTCAAAGTCGAAAGTTTGCGACATAAGCATAAAGCAAACTGCAAAGAGTAGAAGTCATTGTACGTACATAATGCATTTCTCCATGTGGGTGTGACAGAAATCAGCGGCTGCAGGTCCACCATGCCCATCGTACACTGCAAAGTACAGGACCTCCTCTGTTAACTGAGCGAAGTCAAAACGGTCTTCATTCTCTTTCCGTTTGCCAATCTGTGAGGCACAGCCCACGTTTTGCAAGCTGACTTTGGGAATTGGCTTGCCATACTTAATGCTGGGTGGCAGCAAAATTGGCTCATCAATGCGGTTATCCCAGATCCCAAAATTGTCCCAGGTGGTGGGACGCCCACTACTGTCTGGGTCAAATCGAGAACACTTGGGCTCTGAGGTGGAGCTGTGGCACATAGGCATCACCCGCCAGTAGTCCTGCAGCAGTCGAGAGCTTAGCAGCACTCTCCTTCTCACCTGGTTACCACCACTTCTAACCAACATAATTAAGGCAGCTGTTGACATAACTCAGCTCCAACGGACTTAGTAATGAGGGGAAAGCCCCGTAGAACAATAAGAATGTCTTCAAAAAAGTTGCTGCAACTGAGTTAAAGAGAGAGACAGAGAGAGAAAGAGATGGACACTCTGTCAGTAATTTTGAGTATAACTGATAATATCACTGTTGTTACTTGCAATTAAGTTGATTTCAACTCATGGCGACCTCATGTGTACAGGGTAGAGCTGTGCTACACAGACAAGGTTATCAAGGCTGTGACCTTTTAGAGAAAGATTACTAGGTCTGTCTTTCTGAGGTGCCTCAAACCCTTCTGAGGATGGGTTTGAACCACTAACCTTTCACCTTGTAGTAAGCACTTAACCGTTTTCACCACCCAGGGAAACTACCAAAAATGAAGGCTATAAAACATTTGACATATATGTTTAGTCACAGTGGCTTTTCAGCAGATTGCTTTTAAAAAGAGCAGATAATACATGAATCAATTTACCTACCCCATTTACCGTGTTTGAATTCTATAAAAATTTGACAGTGTTACATATCCTATAGAACAGTGCTTCTCAAATTGTAACATGGAATCTTGTTAAAATGCAGATTCCAATTCAGTGCATCTGAGGTACAGCCTGAGAGTCTCCATTTCTAATAAGCTTCCATGTGATGCTAAACCTGCTGGTCTGCAGGTTACACTTTGAATAGCAGAAATACAGAATACAGGTGTAAATAAATACTCTTCCCCTCATTAACGCCATCGCTCTAAAGAAAAGGTAAGGGTAAATATCAGTCATGACAACAAACTCTTTTATGAGAGACAGAAATAAAAGAACGATAAATAACTGGTTAATAGATTATTTATGATAGTTCTAAACAGAAAGAATGGCCAAGTTTCAGCAAAGAGAGAATCTAGGATCTAAGCTTTTTGGTTGGTTGGTTGGTTGGTTTTTTTTTTTTTTTTTTTTGTTGTTGTTGTTAAGGCCTCTCAATTAACCTTTTTGAGCTCTGGTAGCATAGTGGCTAGGAGCTCTGGTAGCATAGTGGCTAAGACACTTGCCTGCTACCCAGACGGCTGGCGGTTCAAACCCACCAGCCACTCCTCGGAAGGAAGATGGGGCAATCTACTTCCATAGTGATACTGCCTTGGAAACCCAAGGAGGGGTAGCTAGGAGTTGGGTCCGACTTGACCGCACACAACAACAACAACAATTAACCCTTTACATACTAAATTACCATAGTTAAAGAAATGTGGTTCATGCACAATCATCATAAGCACAAAGATAAGCAGTTCTGTTTCTCTTTGTGGTAGACATCCATGGGCTTTTGGGAGGTGTGATCTCAGGAAATGTATGGTATTCCTGTATGACAAGCAGCCCTGATTGTAAGCAACTGATCTATGCATTTATACTAAAAGCTGCAGCTCCCCTCCTCCAACCCAGCAGCCCACTTGCACCTCCTCCACCATTGCTGACAGTTGTAGCCAAGCCTACATTTCTTTGAAATCATCACTTGCAAGACTTAAGTGAGAGAGGTGATCCTTCCATTCCTCTGCAGGTGCAGGTGTGTTGGACAGTCTTCCACACAAATAAGGTTCTAAGCAGAAATTCGTTTCTATACTACTTTGTTTGGTTACATTAAGAATTAAAAACCAACCTGAGAAAATGGAATAATGTTAAGATTTGAAAATGATAGTAGAGGATGTGTAGTCTTGAATCTGATTGAATCATTGTGATCCATAGGTGAAAACCCTATGGCTGATACAAGTGTCACATTATTTTCAATTTTATGTTTGAATTGGGGCACCCTGATGGCGCAGTGTTAAGCGTTCAGCTGCTAACCAAAAGGTTGGTGGTTTGAACCCACCAGCAACTCCAAAGGAGAAAATATATGGCATTCTGCTCCCATAAAGACACCTTATGGAGCAGTTCTTCCCTGGCCGGCTGAATGGAAGAAATCCATATTTATGCCAATTCTAAAGAGAGGCGACCCACTGGTATGTGGAAATTATTGAACACTATCTTAATATCACAGGCTAGTAAAATTATGCTGAAGCTAATTCAAAATGCAGCAGTACATCAGCAGAGAACTGCCAGAAATTCAAGCCAGATTCAGAAGAGGACATGGAATGAGGAATATGAGTGCTGATGTCAGAAGGATCTTGGCTGAAAGCAAAGAATACCAGAAAGATGTTTACTTGTGCTTTATTGACTGTGCAAAGGCATTCAGTTGTGTAGATCATAACAAATTATGGATAATGTTGCAAAGAATAGGAATTCCAGAATACTTAATTGTGCTCATGTGGAATCTGTACCTAGATCCAAAGGCAGTCATCCGAAAAGAACAAGGAGATATTGTGTGGTTTAAAATCAGGAAGGGTATGTGTCAAGGTCGTATTCTTTCACTATACTTAATCTTCATGTTGAGCAAATAATCTGAGAAGATGGACTATGTGAACAAGGCACGAGGATTGGAGGAAGACTCATTAAAAACTTGCAATATGCAGATGACTCAATCTACTTGCGGAAAGTGAAGAACACTTAAAGCACTTACTGATGAAGATCAAAGACTACAGCTTTCAGTAGGGATTACACCTCAACATAAAGATAAGAAAATCCTCACAACTGGACCAATAAGCAACATCATGATAAAAGGAGAAAAGACTGAAGTTGTCAAGGATTTCATTTTACTTGGATCCACAATCAATGCCCATGGAAGCAGCAGTGAAGAAATCAAACTATTGCATAGGACAAATCTGCTGCAAAAGATCTCTTTAAAGTAAAGCAAAGATGTCACTTTGAAGACTAAGTTGTGCCTGACCCAAGCCATGGTATTTTCAACTGCCTCATATGCATGCAAAAGCTAGACAAGGAACAAGGAAGGCAGAAGAGGAACCAATGCCTTCGATGTATGGTGTAGGTGAAGAATATTATATATACCATGGATTGCCAGAAGAATGAACATATTTCTCTTGGAAGAAATACAGCCAGACTGCTGCTTAGTAGTGAGGATGGTGAGACTTTGTCACCATATACTTTGTCACCAATACTTTGGACATGTTATCAGGAGGGACCAGTCCTAGAGAAGGACATCATGCTTGGCAAAGTAGGTCAGTGAGAAAGAGGAAGACTCTCAGCGAGATGGACTGACTAAGTGCCTGCGACTGTAGGCTCAATCATAGAACAATTGAGAGGATGGCACAGGACAGGGTAGTGCTTTGTTCTTTTGCACACAGAGTAGCTATGAGGTGGAACCACCCGGACAGCATCTAACAACAACAGTAACAACAAGGGAAGGGAAACACCATCTCTGGTTACAGTTTTAAGCGAAACACCCAGCTAAGAATCAAAAAGAAGTAGATTAGGTGTTTGTTCATTTATTTCTGACTGAAAGTTATATTTTATTCAACAACAATAACAATACAGGTATCCCCTGCTTTTCAAAATTTTGCTTTACACCACTTTGCTTTCATGAAGGACTTATATTAGTATCTGTTTTCACTAACTGAAAGAAAGCCAGAGGATTTTTGCTTTTAAGAGAAAAGGCAAAGTAAAACTAGCATTCAGCATCTGCAGCAGTGAGCAGAACAATTAAAGAGGAAGCATGCGTCCTAAGCAACCCTGAGCAGGGAAGGCAGCTTCACCATTTCCAAGGAACTATACTCATCATGTCAGCATCAAGCCACCACAGCTTTGAAGTGTGTCTGTGAACACTGGATATTAGTTAGTGTTATTATAGGTTTTATGTGTTATTTGGTATGATTTGGTAGGTCAGTTTTTGGATCTGGGAACGCTCAAAAATTTTCTTCAGATCCAAAAATAGTGTTCCTATGAAAATGTTCGTAAGTCAAAATGGCATAAAAGTGAAGAAAATATTAGCAGGGATAGCTGTATAGGTAATTACCTGTGATGAATTTTCATACTATAATACAATTTAACAAGTAATAGAAGTAAGTACTAATTATTGATGGAGGTAATTCACAAAGTAACTTTATACCATGTTGTTGTTATGTGCTGTAAAGTCAGACCCGACTCATAGCGACCCCTCCTTGGGTTTCTGAGGCAGTAGCACTACGGAAGTAGATTGCCCCATCTTCCTCCTGAGGAGTGGCTGGTGGGTTTGAACCGCCAGCCTTCTGGTTAGCAGTCAAGTGCCTTAGCCACTATGCTACCAGAGCTCCCAAGTTTATTAGAAAACACATTCATATTTGAAGAGTGTAGCAGAGATAGCAAAGTACCATTCTTTTTTCCTGTGTCTGAAAGCATGCACCTACTTCAAACAAGGGTTCTAGAAATAGGAACAAAAAATATTAAGTAATTTTTTCTTCATCTTTCTACAATACTCTTGCTAGATATCCCTCTAGGACACTCTAGGATACTCCCTTTTCTCCCCCTTTCTACCCTCCAAAAAAGAAACAAAACAAAACAAAACAGTAGAACTCCATTTTCAGTAGGCCACAAATATCCACTGGAAATACTATTTAAGGATGAGATAAAGTCCAAGTTGAACACTTTCTTTAAGCCTGTGTATGCCAAAATCAATCATTAATCTGGCCTCCTTCTGCATTACTTATCTGTATAATCATCTCAGAAATTAAACAGAATAGTCATAGGAAAACATCTACTTTAAGACATATTATTGGCAGAGATGAAACGTGAACCAGAGCCAATTATACAGTCAGTTTGTCAGTACTATAAAACTAGGTCAGCATCACTTATGCCAGCTGGAGACTTTAAGTGGTTCAATCTCCTTTTCCACACAAAATATTACTAACTCATTCTAATCTCACCCACCCCTATATTCCCAAAGAAACTATTCAAACACAAACTGTCTTCCCAAGTTAAATAACAACTACTTTGCATCAAACCTGCACAGCAAGAAAAATTTCTCTGAGGTTCAAACAGAATCAGCCATCATGAGTCCTACCTGTAGTCACAGCTTCCCAACTGCCTATAGAGAGGACTAGTGGGCAAGTGGAAAAGAGTCTATGATATGAAAAACAACAACCTTTGTTGGGGGGGGGCAAGCAATCAATGTTCCTTATAAAGAAACAAATGGAAAGCAAACAAACACCTAAGAATTGTTTTATTACTGTTAGTTGAGCAATTATAAAGTGGATAAATATATCATTCTGCAAACTGAGAAACACAGTTATTCAGGAATCTTTTTGAGTAAGCAAGGGAGACTATGTCAATCTCTCAATCAGAAATTAAGGTTAACTTATTTTCACAAATCATTTTAACATTTATAAGCAATCTTTGAAAGTCAAAATCATTCAAAAGAGTCAAAAAGCTGACATATTTCTGTTTGAAAGCCATTTGAAAACACAAACTATATCAGAGTTAATGAACAAAGAGTACAAGAACACATCGTGCTATGTATCATATTCTACTAGTAAAAATAAAACTTAAAGACTGTGCTAAACACGAATGTCAAGATAAATAATTTTATTGGAATTCTAGCTACATAGTTTCGGTTGTTGTTAGTTGCCGACCAGTGGATTCCAACTCATGATGACCCCAAGTGTGCACAGCAGAATTGCTCCATAGTTTTCAAGGCTTTGACATTTCAGAAGTAGACCATCAGGCGTGTCTTCTGAAGGACCTCTGGGGAGAGGAGAATCACCAACCTTCCCCCAGTAGTTGAGAGCTTAACTGTTTGCACCATCCCAGGGCTCCATGTTATTTCTACAATCAATCTAAAATATACTGAGCCAATAGTCCAAAGGGGAAAAAAATGGACACTCATCTTCCACCTAGACTAAACTTATTTTCCTTAAAAAAAAAAAAAAAAAAGAGGTCACAATTTATCTCAACCACGTGAATTTTTTAAAAAGTATACCTATATCTGTGTGTACACACCCCCAAACCCTATAAAATCATGAACAGTCTCTGACTCATGGTGATCAGGGTATAGAACTGGGCTCCTTAGGATTTGCAATGGTTGATTTCTTGGAAGTAGATCACCAGGCCTTTCTTCCAAGGTACCTCTGGGTGGACTCAAACCTCAAACCTTTTGGTTAGCAGCCGAGTGCTTAAGCATTTGTATCACCGTGGGACTCAGTCTAAAGCCAATGTAGTCTATATACTGTCAGTAAAAACATTCTTGAAAAGACTTTACTTTTGACCTTAATTTGTGTGACCAGGCCTTCCTCCTCTTCTTTCCTCCTCAATCCTTTAAATTAATCCCATAGTCTAAGGCTGTGACATAGAATCAACCCAGAAGAACAAAGTTGGTCCCTGGTTTAACAATTCTGATTGGCAGGGGTGATTTCTCAGCAAAAAGGGTTAAAAAATAGAGATAAATTGTGAGACCACCAAGAGTATGCACAGAAATTTTGTATGAGAGCACTGGTGAAAACCCATTTACTGAGAGTAGGAAATCTCAGGACAGAAGCATCAGGAAGAAAAAGAATAAAACATTTAGATTATAACAAAAACCAAACTCACTGCCCTCAAGTCGGATCCCATGCATAGTGACCCCTCTGTGGGTTTCCGAGATTGTATCACTATGGAAGTAGATTGACCAATCTTCCTTCGGAGGAGTGGCTGGTGGGTTTGAACCACTAGCTTTCTGGTTAGAAGTCCAATGCCTTAGGCCACCGGAGCTCCCGATTTCATTATAGTCAACCATAAAAAACAAAAATAAAGCCATTGTTGAGTTGATTCCAACTTATAGGAACCATATAGAACAGAGTAGAACTGCCCCATAGAGTTTCCAAGGCTGTAATCTTTACAGAAAGGAACTCTGTTAGCAAAGTAGTTAAATGGCTGCTAACCAAAAGGTTGGTGGTTGGAACTCACCAGCACTCTGCAAGAGAAAGATGAGGTGTCTGCTTCCATAAAGATTTACAGCCTTGGAAACCCTGTGGGGCAGTTCTACTCTGTCCTTACATGGTTGCTATGACTTGGAATTGACTCAATGGCAGTAAGTGGTGGTAGAATCTTTATGGAAGCAGATTGCCACATCTTTCTCCCACAGAGCCACTGAAGGGTTGGAACTGTAGACCTTTTGGTTAGCAGATGAGCACTTAACCGCTGCACCACGAGGGCTCCTTTCATAGTAAAACTACACTCAATTAAAAAAAAAAAAAACTGAGAGGGCTGATGCCACAGTTTACAGCCATAAGATTGCTATGCCAATTTTATTTTTCATCTTACTCTATTTTATAATCCCTCCATGGTTTAAACACCTCAGAGCTCTCCAAATTTATTTTTAGAAAAAGGAGGCATTGCCTCTGGAAGGAAGGTGCATATGGGATTTGAGTCAAGCTGCTCTTGAAATGTTGAAAGCAGGTCTGGGCAGTTTATTGTTGTCATTTTAAACACATGCCAAAATTCTTCAGGAGTTCTAAGGATCATACTACTGAAACCTGATTAGATTTATCCCTCTAGCAAAAAAAGTTTAAGTATTAATACCTGCCCATTTTAAAGTGGCACTCAGCTATCATTACATAGTCACAAGGTAATTGGAAAAACAAGGTAATTGGAAACACAAGGTAATTTCTAAGACTTAACCAAATATCCCTGGTCTAAGAAATAAATTTCGCAAATAATTCTCTACTGACACCAAGGTGTTTTAACACATTCAAATGATATGAAAACCTTCAGAATGTATTTCAGTATGTTTGGATCCCAATGAAATTCTTTACCAGCACCCTGTGGGCAGAAAGGTAAAGAAAATATATTCGTCTCCCTGAGGGAAACAGAAAACAAATGGAAACAACAATCTCTGAGTGAAAAAAGAAAACAAGCAACGCTCCAAGGGACTGACCCTAGGTTTGATGGAGAAGTACTTTCTTTCCTGTGAAAAGTATTTGTTACTATAATTCTGCAGTTATCTTTTAAAACATTTTAGTTAATGTAGACACAAGCGACAAACCATATTCCAAACCTGTAATTGAAGAAATTTCTCTTATGCTCTATATAACACTACCTACACTTCTCCCCTCTTCTTTCCACTCCACCAAGATTCCAGTCCACGGAGATGTGTGTGGTGGTGGTCTTTAAAAGGTAGTGCTCTAAATTAGCAACTATAAAATTACAACTAACTTCTGCTTATGGTGATGGAAAATCTGGCAATGATTTATTGGTGATGGTTGTACAACATGATTAACATAAGTGGTAACACTAAATTGTATGTGTGACAAACGTTGAATTGGCAAATGTTGGGTTACATATAATTGCATAACAATAAAAAAATTATTAACTAAGCTATTTTATGATATAGTGGCATTTTTTCTTTTCCAATTTCTATACATTAAACAGATACAAACTGAAACACAAACATTTACATTCATAGGCTTTCCTCTTCCTCCTGTCACTCTACAACAGCAGCATAACTAGCATACCACGACACCATTACAATCTGTCACTTCAGTCGCTTATTCTGAAACCGCCTAACCACCTCATTCTTTCTACCTGCAGTGCCGGAAGTTGCAAACAACTGTGGCCTTGTTGCACATTCCCAGTCCAAAGCTCAGAAAGCCAGTGGAGCTTTAAACACTGGACATTGCATGGCTATTTCCACCCAGAGTCTTGTCTTTTGTCACCTCCTGTGAATTCTCTAATCGACAGAAAGCGACTGCTAAGAAAGACAGCGGCCACAAGGCCTTGTGATCACAGTTGCTCTCCTGGCAAAGCAAAACCCAAGTACTCAGATCAAAACTAACCAGGGCTCTGCATCCTTCTTTAAACCGATCCCCTGAAAGGCCCATCCTCCGGGCAGTTCAGGATCCTGTACTCTTAGCCGTTGATTCTTGTAGTGGCAGACGAGAATTACACAAGGCAGGAAGAACACCCTACTACCCGCGCAACGCGCAGCACTTGCAGATGGCTCGGGTCTCCCAGTACCTTACGCCGCCGGATCTCCGCCTCCCAACCTCTCAGTCCGCGTACAGATCCCGGGTGTCGCCACGTCTCCCTCGCTCGGGCGGCAGCTGCTGCGGCGAGGCGGCGCAGCTCCCTGCAGCATCCTCGCTTCCCCGGGCTTCGAGCAGGACGCCCGCGGGGCCTCGCTGGAGGAAACGCAGGCAGGAGAGGAGCGGGCATATCCTACTTCCCTTCCATCCTCCCTGACTCCCTCCCTCCGAGCCCGGGAATCCTCACTTCCCTTCCATCTTCCCTCTCTCGCTTGGACCCCGACACACCCCACCTGCTCCGACTGCACTGAGCCGGCCTTCAGTGGAGGTCAAGTTCGAGGCCGAGTGCACGGTCTTGGCAGGAATTGCCAAGCGCAAGGCTGCACCAGCAGAGTGGGCCGCACCGCGACATGCTGCTCTTGATCTAGGAGGAGAAGAGAGCGGCGCACAGAGAGCCTAACTGTGGGGCTTAGACCGCCGGGTCTGGGGAAATTAAACCATTCCTCTTCCCTTTCCCCGGAAACCCTCATTCGTTTACTCTCTATTCCAGGACCCGGAGCCTGTGGGATGCGACCCCGCCAGTAAATAACATAAACTGTACCAGAAATAAATGAATTGCACTCTCTAGTCTCTTACCTCGTGATGATTGTGTTGCTGTTAAGTTTTTAAATTAGCTAACGGAGGGCAAGGAAAGAGCTTTCTAGATCGGTAAATAAGATTGCCTTCTCCGACGTTATCGATCTCTGGAACAAGCAGCTAGAACAACCACTGCCTGCTCTGCTGGAAATTCTCGAAAATTTTTCGGTGCGTATGGCCAGATGGAAAGGGGAAGTCTGTTCTCGCTGACTGACAGCAATTCTCACCAATGCGCGCCTGGCCAGTAGGTGTGGCGGACGCCCCCGCCCTCGGTCGCAGCTAATCACAGACTTGGATCGAAACGAGCCTCCCGCAACTGCAATTTGACTTCGCTGACTTCAAGCTGCGCTTTGCAGAGCGAAGTCTGCGTTAGCCAGTAGTAGCTAGCGGTGGCGCCCCTCCCTCCGGAGGGCCTGGGAGCGCCGGCCAATGAGGGGGCGCCTGGGCGGCGGGTAGGGCGGCAGGCTTGGCATCTTGCTTGGCGGCGAAGGAGAAGAGGTGTCTCGCTGCGGTCCAGGAGGCGGGGGTTGTTACAGCTAGGAAACCGAAAACGGAATGCCAACCCCAATGGACCAGAGAGCTCGAAAGGCTCTAGTTTCGTGCTATTCTTTGAAAAGGTCACAGTGCATCATTCTTTTTATGACTGAATAGGCATCTTGTGGTCCCTTAGAAATGTCTATCCATTCACTCCACAAGTATTTCTATATTTATGGAGGACATTTTTTGAACTACTAACCAGAAGGGTGGTGGTTCAAACCCACCAGCCACTCCTCGGAAGGAAGACTGGGCACTCTACTTCCATAGAGATACTACTGCCTCCAAAAACCCAAGGAGGGGTCGCTGTGAGTGAATCAACTCAACTTCCACCAAAGGGAGTTTGGTTTTTGGGAGGTCTGGTAGCGGAGTGCCTAAGGCATTTGACTGCTAACCAGAAGGCTGGCTGTTCAAACCCACCAGCCACTCCTGGTAAGGAAGATGGGGCAATCTACTGCCTCGGAAACCCAAGGAGGAGTCGCTGTGAGTCGCCGCGATAGTGAGTTTGGTTTGGTTTTAAGTGCTAGACACTAAAAAGAAAAAGACCTGCAAATTTCTACAGACGTAGACTGCCACATCTTTCTTTGGCAATGGGTTAGAATTGCCGACCTTTTGGTTAGTGGCTGAGCTCTTCAACCACTGTGCAACCAGGGCTCTATAACTTAGGTGGGGGTGTGACATATACCTTTATGACAATGCTTAGGGAACAGTGTGCTTCTGTTAAGAATAATGGTAAAATTTGGGTATGGATAATGGTTAACAATAGGATGAATATAATGTCACTGAACTGTGCTGTTTTAATGTCAAATGTTTTCTTAATATATAGTTACCACAATTTTAAAATATGCATATAATTTTATGGATCATTTTGTGGTGGCTTGCATGTTACTGAGAGGCTGGAAGCTATGCCACACATACTTCAATCAGCAGCAGGGTTACCCATCCTGGACAGGTTTCAGCTGAGCTTGCAGACTAAGACAGACTGGGAAGAAGGATGGGGCCACTTACTCATTTATGCCAAGAAAATTGGAAGACAGCTACCTGGCCAATCAACTGGAAGAGATCCATATTGGTGCCCATTCCAAAAAAGGTGATCCAACAGAATGTGGAAATTATTGAACAATGTCATTAATATCACAAAAAAAAAAAAAAAAAAAAAAACCAAACTCACTGACACAAGTAAAATTTTGCTGAAGATAATTTAAAAATGGTTGCAGCAGTATATTGCCAGAGAACTCCCAGAAATCCAAGCCAGACTCACAAGAGCACGTGGACGAGGGACATGAGTGCCGGTATCAGATGGATCCTGGCTGAAAGCAAAGATTACCAGAAAGATGTTTACCTGTGTTTCATTGACTATACAAAGGCATTTGACTGTGTGGATCATAACAAATTATGGATAACATTGAGAAGAATCGTGGACTAAACATAGCCTGCCTTGGTTGACTTACCTTTTGCTGCAAGGATTTTAAATTAAGTAGACAACGCAAATGTCCCTGCCCCTTCCCTTCCCCAAAAATTATTACTTTAAAGATTTTACAGTGCATTTGAGGAGACTAAAAATACTAATATTAAAGAATAATAATGAAACTACTTGGAGCACATATAAAGCAACACATAAACAACTATAATTTAATATTGTATCCTTCTAGCTGTGGGAAATAGTATAGAATGACACATTGAAAATTGTACCTTGAAGAATCAAAACCTCAGTGTTCATTGCCAAGTAATATCTGCTAATGCATTGCTATTAGAATATGCTGGGAAAAGGCCAAAAATTCTCCTATAATCTTAAATAAGGAATACTAAGTAAATAGTTTTCTTGTCAGTGGAATGGAAACGAATATGTGAATAATTAGTACGATGCACATGGATAAACAATAGAAACTGCACACAGTGCTAAGAAAAGCTGTCATTGTCTTAGAAATCCGTAACATCAGAAGAATGTACTCTTTTCACCTGTTGGAAATGACACTTGATTTTCTAAACCTTTTCTTCTCTTCTGAGTCTCATTTAGATTAAAGCTCAGAATCTCAAGGTAACATTATAAGAGATGATGAAAGGCACATTTGTCACTGGTTGTCTGGCAACCAGAAACATGAGTTGTTGGCATGTGCAAACACATCTTATTTTGTACATAGAGTGGGTGTAGGTGCTGAATTATGCTTCTATTGGTCAGTTTGTCTCCCAATAGCAGACAGGAGAGTATTATTTTCCCAGCTAATTAGCATACTCTGGGAAAATACCCAACTGTGTTTCTTTCTCCAACAGTATTAAATATAGACTTCAAAACCAGGGTTAGCATTTACTGTTTTAAAAGTTAAAAGTTTAAAAGTTTGAAAAAAATAAAATAATAAAAAGTAATTTTGGCATTGGTTGATCTAGATTTTAATTACAAAAGTGCTTCAGAATAAGTTGTTAAACTTCAGTAAACTAATAGGACCTAATTGTTATGCTATATGTCTTAATTTCTTGGTGTTGCCATATCAGAAGCACCACAAGTGAGTGGCTTTAAGGAACAAAATCTTAATTTACTCACAGTTAGGAGGCTAGAAGTCTGAATTCAGGGCACCAGCTCTTATGGGACTGTTCTCTTCATGCACTCTGGGGGAAAATCCTTGTCTCTTTCGGCTTCTCTTTCTTGATTCCTTAGTGTCTCCAAACGGCATCAAC